TAGATAGATAGATAGATAGATAGATAGATAGATAGATAGATAGATAGATAGATAGATAGATAGATAGATAGATAGATAGATCTGTTCTTTGTTTACCTTTTAACTGTTGATTTGTATAGTGGTTAACTATAGGATCCACAACAGGTTTTTCTGTGAAACAAGATTATTTATTTATTCTTTTTTTCATCACCGTGTAAAGTTAAGCAAATATGCTGTCAGTATGTTTTTTATTCAGTGACTTACTGTGAGAGCGTTTCCCCACATAGATCTTTTGAATCACAGCCATGACTATGATCAGGAACACCACACACATCAGAACCATCCAGGTCACCCTGTACCTGCACCAAACCCCTGGAAGTCAGGCAGAGGTTTAGACACATGCAGGCCTTTAGATAATCATCTCATGGCTAAACTGTTATTCACTCAATGTTCTCAATTGAAAGGATAAAGCACATAAAAAGATATAAATAAGAAAAATTTAAAGGTTGAGGTTATGGAAAAGCTGGAAGGGGAAGGAAAAAATGCAACCCTAAAGGATATCCAACTTTCCTTTTCAACCCTGGAAAATATGTCAAAGATTCGGCTTTATGTATGGGGAGCACTGAGGAGTGGAACACAAGGAAGGATAGCCAAAATCAATAGCAGTGATCCAAGGGATTAAGTTTTACTTTGGTCATGGAAAGCTCAAGCTGTGCAAGGGAAGAGTAAAAGACACTCCAGAGGTTCAAGTAAACAGAGGAGAGTTAAAGGAAATTTGTTCTAATTGAAAGAAAAATAGTCCAAAGAGGACTGACAGATAGGGCAGTTTGGAATAAAATGAAAACAGGTAGATTGTTTCCTAGCCTCTTATTGTCTCCACACAGAGAACTAAGAAAAACCTCTCCATCATCCTGACACCCACCTTTATCTGCCCGTTTCCATGGTAGCGCTTCTGTTTCATTTCTTGTCAGAACAGTTTGATTGGCGAGCCAAAGGAGACAGCGGCTGCGATTGGTTGAGTTAGAAGTGGCAATGAAAGGAAGACAACAGTAGAAAGCCTCTCCCTGGGCTGCACCATTATCCATTTGGTCTTTCCCCTCTTCGGGTGGGTTGAGGTATAGGTCGCTCTGATTGCTTTGGCCGTACAGAGTGACATTAATGGTCTCTGTGTCGTTGAGTTGGAAGCTGACTGACACCTCCAGAAGCACAATCAGAGCTGTGGATGAAAACAGAAATTACACCTATTGTCAATCAAAAGGTTGTGGTAGTTTAAGATCTACAGTTAAAAACAGCTATTTGCTTGGCCTTCTAGAAGGATGTGTTACCTTTCTTTCTACCTTTCTTACCTGTAAATCAGGCTTCAAAACTAATTTGGGAAGTTCTTAAATTCATTCAGGTCCATCTGTAAGGCCTATTTGTGTCCCAGTCTTACATCCCTGTCTGATGTCTATTTCCACATAATGCTCTTTCTCATTGTCATCTATTTCATCAAAGAGGCATTATGCATGTTTTTACTGAAGAATATCTTTACATCATTTGATGACCCTATTTTCCTGAATTTATTTTGTATCGTAAGTTCCTGTGCTGTTCAACGGATGTCACATCAAGCGCGTCCCTGTTAAATGGGTAGGACCTAGCAAACAAGAAAAGCATTTTGGGATAACATCCTTATGGACACTGACTGGAAGAAGGCCTGGTTTTTGCCTTATAGGTACTGTGTCTCCATAAGATAGAAAAGATTCAAATCAAGATTTTACACACTATATATCCCACAAATTCAAATTTTTCTAAATTGTCACATATTGAACATAAATGCAGTTTTTGAACCAGGAACTTTATCTCATTTATTCTATCACTGATCCCAATCTACCAATTTCTGGACTTATCTTGACAAATATATAATGTGTAAACTCAAATCAAACATTGCAATTGACTTTGACAGTGTAATATTGTATTTTTCCCATGGAGACAGTAATGTTACTTTTGTTAATATCATACTTATTTTGTATGGCAAATCTAATATATAAGGGAAGGTAGATATTTCAAATCTTAGACCAACTTCAGATGTTTCTTGCATAAGTTCAGAGTACATGAAATCCCTTACTTTAATTGATTCTAAACAAAGCATTACATCCACAGATATTTTAAGTTATTTCAAATAATAATGTAATTGCACTCCTTTTTTATTGTGTCTTGGTCTGCTTGGTACATTTTTGTTTGTGCAATCTTTTCAATAAAGTTCATTGAAAAAAAACCTAGCAAACAATCAAAGCGCTATATTCAAGATGGCCGATGGCCGCTCACACCGAGCCTGGTACTGCTTGAGGTTAAAAGGGAGTTTTTCCTCTCCACTGTTGCTACAAGCATGCTTAGTGTGAGGGATTGCCTTCTAGTCAATGAGTCGATGCAATCAACTGGTTTTCCTTAGATAGATCATTTTTAATCAATTTGACTGTATGATCTGGTTTAACTGTAAAGTGCCTTGAGATGACATGTGTTGTGAATTGGTGCTATATTGAATTGAGCTGAAAAGCGACTGGCATCCAGCTCAACTCAGTCAGCAATGGTAACCCAGGGTGAGGTGAAAAAAGTAAAAAACAACAACAACAAAACAACTTTTTAAGTGCGGGAGTGTGCTATGAGGACGAGCAGAAGGGTGTTGCAATTATTGTGTTTCTGCAACAAGTGGCAGTATCATTAGAGAACTCTGTAATGCCTCTTTAAGTACACCAACCCCTCCTGTTGCACAACATCCCAACAACATACTGCTCCCACCCTGTACTTCACAGTTTGGATACTTTTCTTAGCCTTAAGGCTTCCACATGGGTCATTATGGCCAAATATTTAGTTAAAGTTTCATCAGAGCATGTAACGTGTGCAAGGATTGAAGTTATTTGTCTAAGTGCATTTGCAAATTGTTGGGTGTTGGGTATTTCATGTTACTATTAGAATGACTTTTTTTTTTTCCAGTTGTCTGGCCTTTCACTCCATATTAGTAAAAGTTGCTTCATGTTCTTCTCAGCTTTATCCAATCTTCCCAATGTCTTTTGCCTTTGTTCTGAGTTTGAAAGGCAGATCTTGCACCATAATGTGTCCCTCACTAGGATAAAACATTGTCTTATTGAACTGACTGAACTAAGTGATAGTGTTGGTGTTATGTAAGAATATATCATCCTGACTCTGCTAAAGCAAGAAATGTTTAGTCTGATGCAATACCAAATAGTGAGGAAAAAAGTGTATTTTCATGCTGATAGATACATAACTTATGTCCAGAGAATTTTTCAAGTAGTTATTTTAAGCCTGTTCCCAGCTCTCTGGAATCCAGTTACAAAATTACACAATAAAAATTTTATTTCACAGTTCAAGGGAGAAAACAGGAGTTATTGATCTAAGGCTGTCTATATTCTTATGACAAAATATTTTAGTATTTTATTATTTATGTATCCACATCATTTCTAATCAAATACACAGTTCAAGGCGATCTGAAGGGGCTCCATTATCATTCACAGCTTAGGCAGACTGAATTTCTCTTTGTACACAGTTTTCCTATGCAAGGTATTATGCTAATAATGTTTAAATGCTTTCACCAAAGTAAGCACTCTCTCTCTTTTTTTGATGATTTATAGTGATTGCATTCCATCTGTGCAAACCATCTGGTAAATCACACAACTTTACAGTGTCAACAGTTATTCAAAACTCGTTCCTTCTCAGTGTTCTGTAAAATATTCTTCCCTTTTTTAAACAGGTCTGTTTTACAGTCATTAAATGCGAAAGGGATTTTCTTTGATACCGACAGACCTCTTCCTGAAAAACAAAGAAAGGACTGGTCAAAGAAAAGATCTAATGTGCATTTGAGATATATTTGATATCTATTTGAGGAATCCTGGTTTAGTGTGTTGAATCTCTCGCATAGATTTCCATATCAATTATAGGGGATGGTTCGGATAAAGTGTATTTTCTGATTTGTATTAATAGTATTAAGTATCACAGTACAAGCAAACTATTTGTCATTTTAAAAGTACAGGTTATTCTAAAATGTCAGTGTTTGTTTTTCCTTTTAGAAAGTGAATATCATACTAATGCTGGTAATTACTGAAAAAAAAAGATGATAATTTAAGGGCAGCTCACATAGGTAGTTTTTCTCAAAGTGCTACAAACATAAGTAAAACATTGAAAAGAGAGACAAACAAAAACCACAAGATGCCACTTACACCCCCATGTCTTTTTACAGGCTATTTCATTTATAAACATCCAAAAATATCTAAGCTCAGGAGTTTTTTTTTTTTGGTTTAACTGTATAAAGATTGTATGCCGTCCTACTGCATTAGTCTGTGTTTACTTTACTAATATTAGGCTACTATTGCTATTTTTGACGGTTTATATTTATTTGTGCACAAAATATATCTCCATCCTCTGGCATTAGCGGTGACAAAAGAATTAACGTTTATTTTTTATTAATAATTATTAATAAACATTAATATGTACTACTTTACTTCTTTAAATATTCATATTTACTTTATAATTTATTAATTATTAATTATTTTTAAGTTAAAGTATAAATCCTACAGTTTAAAAAACACTTTTGTAGTACCGGTAGTTAGAATGTTAACTTAATATGCTTACTCAAGTAAAAGTGTAAAGGTACAATTTTTTAAACTACTTAAAGTATAAAAGTAAAAGTAAAGGATCAAAAAGTGTTAATTCAGGATTATAACTTTTTTACAACTTTTTTTGTAACTAATAATAACAATGTAAAATTTAACTTTGCATCATGTTGAACAGCTATTTATTTTGGTGCAGTACCAAGTCCTACCACAACAAAACATTTGGTCTTGATGGAACTAATTATATTGAATGATTTTAAATTTTTTAGATACCAACTGGCCATAACGAAAATAAGCTTAAATGAAACAAAACTAACGAGTTTATTTTTGAAATGTAAGTAGGAGAAAGTAGAGAAGTTAAAGTTGTCTAAAAAAGAATTTCTCCTGTAAAGCATAGATAAAAAAAATAAAAATAAAATAAAAATAAAATTTCTAATCGAATTTTTAGTTTTAGGTAACAAAGTATTTGTACTTTGTTACTTGACCCCTCTGTCTGGCATTGTACTGTCTCCTTGTGGCACATACCTGCATGTCAGTACTAAAAACGATGCGTCTCATATATGGAAAATCACTTTTTTCACTTGGTAAACAATTACAATTGCATTTGAACATTAATGGGGGCACATATGCAAAAGAAAGTTTGCACATGCTGTCTGCTGAATTGCAAACGTAAATAGCTTTGAACCTTCTGTGAAGATACTCTGCGACTAGAAACTGGTTTGCATTTGTTTTAAGACAGAAGATCAAGCTCATAGAGTGAAATATTGCAAGCCATTATATCATGTAATTTTGATTGGTATAGCTTATGGATGGCCAAATTCAATATTCTGCTAGACTGCTTTGACTGCAACATTCAGATCATTTCTATTGTTGGGTCTTCTGTCTCTCACCTTCCTCGTCGTGATAGTACCTTTATATTTTTAGAGGCCCTGTAAAGTCTGTCTGTAACCTTTCTACTGTAATCTCTCTTTTAGAAATATATTTAATGAGATGGTTTTTCTTTATCGTTTTATTGCTTGAACAGATGGTTGATTGCAAATTGATAGTTACATATTTTCATGTCTACTTGTTACATCACAGAAATGGATGCTGTTTTAAGCAGTTTAGACTTAGCTAATTATAAAATCAGTAAATTTACCCCATTGACAGTAGATAAAAATAAAGGTTTTGATGTGGTTTTCTGCCCAGGGTGCCACAGTCTGAAGGATAGCATTAAAGTATTTGAAAAATATCCTATTACGATTCAGCCCTCAATTAAATGACTTTTGTGTATTTTCAGAGAACATGGGGGATTTACAATCTTTCATGTCTCCTGCCAAAAAGATATGAATTGCATTTTGATAAAATCCTGTGGGACATCATGACAATATTCTTGATAAAGCATTTTATTTGTTATTGAAATATACTAGTGTTGAGCTTATGCTCTTTAAAAATGTGCAACAGCATCACTGACATGTGCCTTACCTGATGAGATGTTGTTGTAAAACACGTCCATGTTTTTGTCCGTTTCGCACATAAACCAGCCTCTTCTTGAATCACCTGGGACTTCCTGTGTTTCAGCATTCAGGTCCATTGGGTTTCTTTGAGACTCTTGTATGCAGATCTGCTCCCACTGCTTATTTTTTGCAGTTGAAGCCTTCAGATTTCCTGGCGACCTGTTACCTCCTCTCCATACCTCATACATTTGTTCACTTGGCTGGTAGGAAAGGCAGAGGAAATTCACCTCTGACACTGAAGGGATAGAGAGAAGAGAACAGTATAAATAGCTATACACAAAATACCCGAACATACCTGTCAATCGTTGTGGGTCAGATTTTTTGGAGCAGTGGTTCTCAGACTCTTTAAAAACAACTACATAAATTAACTAGATATTGCTAGAAGTGCCAAAATAAACAGCAATTCTCACAGAGTTATAAATGCATGTGATCAAACTGGAATAAACTAAAAAAAATAAATAAAATAAACTAATTCACTGCATGGTTAATTGTTGGTGTGAAGGATTGTCTAGCTCTTTAGTACTTTTATAAAACGCAGAGAAGAAGACACACTTCACATTTTGAATATATTGATGATAGGCTATTTTTGCAATGGTGCTACCAAAAGTGCACGCTGCCATCCTGGAGAAGAACCAGGGGGGTAACCACGGTGACACATTAACGGGGAGGGTGGGATCAACATGTTTGATACTCTGACCATCATCTGATGCTACATTCACTAGTAATCAGAAAATGGGATGTTTGCAACTAATTCTGTCCTTCAATAAACATCCTCCCACATCTGGGGGAAACTAAAGTGCTCAGTATTTCATGGATGGCAGGGAGAAGGTCGTAATACCCCATAGCGGAAAACGCCATTGATTGATGAGTGATATAGCTAATGAAGGCTTTATGTATTTATTAAAATGAATTTGTAAACCTTTGCTGCTGGTAGGAACACAGTAAGTCAAATTTAAATGCATTGTTGAGCTTGCTTTACATGTTGTCATGATCTTGGAGCTGATGACTGGCTTAATTATTAATTTCACTGTCCATCTGATCCACCTGCTCCTGCCTCTATTTTAGGTGCTTGCTCCCAGTCATAAGTACAAGATGATTCGTTCTCTCTAGCCAGTGGTGAGAGGGTTTTTAGAGTTCCTCGGTGTTTCTGATTTCATGATCCTGACCTGTTCTGCCTCTCAACCACTGTGCCTACCTGTTCCTTTCTGATCTCAGTGGTGTATGTGTTTTTAGCTTTACCTTAGTGTCTCTGATTACCTGATCCTGACCTGTTCTGCTTCTAAACTACTGTGCCTGCCTGTGCCCGTCTGGTCTATTTGCCTGAAATGTCTTTGGATTCCTGGATCTCTGAGCCTGCCTGTTCCTGTTCTGATCTGTTTGCCCGACCTAGCTTGGGACTGCTGCATGTTCTCCAGGGTGCAGCATCTGGGATACTCTGGGTGGTGCCCTCCTCATCTTGTTGGCAGCTGGATCCTACCTCATTCTTTGGACATAGACTGATCAGATTATCATGGTCTGTTTTGAAACAGATTATCACTCTTGCAGTTTCCAGCCTTTGTTGCCATCTACTCTGATCCATGTTTTAAATAAATGCTTTTTGAGTTATTTCACTGTCTGTTTGACCTTGAATACTGGGTCCTCTGTTCTGAATTATGACACACGGTAAAACTATCAGTTACAATCATTATTATGTTTTAGAATCTATATGCAAGGGGTCAGTCATTAAACACTCCTAGTCTCAGGAAATTCAGGTTTTCCTGCAAGTCCCCCTTTCCTCTACATGTTTGTGTATTAATTACATGCCCCTGCAACATCAAACCTTTTGGTATTGATTTATTGATAAGCCATATATCAGTCTAAATATCATATAAATACATTTCTGACTATTTTGTGCTAGTATATACTTTCTGCTTACTAGTAACAAACACCACTCTAAATGTAGATGTTACAGTTTTCATTAAAATGTCCATCGTCATCCTTTACAGTGATGTCAGCTACCAGTTGTAAAATTTAGTTTCAGTCATGAGACTGACTCTGTATTATCAATGTTATTGATCCTCTCTGTTCCTCTAAGCTGACATTTATTGTCTGTCTGTCTTTCTAAGAATTGTTTCAAAACAAGTTTCTGCCCCATTGGTTCATCTTTCACACAAAATGTTTTATTCCATTATCTGCCAAGCTCTGCTCAAGTTCACATTTTTCATATCCTCAGTCATCACGGCGCTTTTTCCCCCGGCAGCACCAAACCCCACACTTTATAGGATGACAAAAGATGGCACCGAATTCAGTTGCAATTCCACTGTTTGCTTATATTTTGACTATGAATTGACTGTTAAATAATGTGAATCCTCCTGTTGTGTAAAAACCACCAATCTATTTTTTTCGAATCCAGTCTGATACCAATACAGGGTTTGAGCATATTGGCTGATATCCGATGCCGATATGATAGTACAGTTGAATGAATTACCAATTTCCTCTCTGTGTGAGTAAAGGCATAATTCTTGACATAAGCATTGTTAAAAAAAATGCTAATTAACAAAGATATGAATCTTCACTCTTTGCTGATAAACATCTCTGGTAACAACCAGACCATTATTTCTGTGTTTACATTCTTGCCTTACTCAGTTTGTAGGTGTGACCATACAATTATCCTTTTTTTTATTCTATGTAATTAATTGACTGCCACAGTTTCCAGCTCTTCAAAAATGAAAGAGACTTCATTAGTTATATCACTCCAGTATTATTGTCCAGTTAATGTCCTGTTCAGCCTGTCTTCCAGAGCAATGGACTAGAAAAACACCCACCAGTAAATGGTACAGGTTATCAGACTTAAGAACAGAGCATGTTTAAAGATATTTTAAAGGATTTTCTCTGATTTTTTAAAAGACCCGCCCTCTCCACTTAAAAAAAATGCATGTGCAAGAGCATGCACAAGCCTGTTTCTCCCCGTGCATGCTTTGTTGAAAAGTTGCTGTTCTTATAGCTCATACAAGCTTACTGCGTCCAAACGTCTGCCTTAACCCCTAAATCCGTCAATCACTATATAGAACGGGGACTATATAGTGAACTCAGTCAACTTGGACAGATGATCACTTCCCCGTTGGTCCACTATGTGGTGCTTGCGCCATCTTTGTTTTTAGTTGCCGCTGTCGGGTAGCGGCAGTCTATGGTGACAACGGGCTGCTGTGATGGCAAATCCCATAATGCTCGGCGAGGAGAGCTCTCCGCCATTTTCAAAGAACTGCGGTGAGAGAGGTGAGCTTCGATGACTGTCTGAAACCATAGCTCACCACAGATTTACGCCTGAAAGTGTGCATGCGCAGAAAAAGATAGCTAACCGGACGACCACATAGGACAGCCTTATGTAAGCATATCACCAGAATGATTGACAATTAGGAGGACTACTTATTTAGATGATCCACCCGGAAATAAAAGATCATCCTCTATACCTTTACGTTTGGTTTAATGGTTTTTCTCTTGTTCACTTTCTCACATTGGGGCGAAAACAGGTAGCTTTCGGGGGAAGTTCTCAAAGAAACAGCCGTACAACATTCTCAACTTTTTGTGTTCTGTCAAAAGACTAAAGAAGTTAAATAATTACACCATGTTCTTTTGGTTTGGTTTAGTATTTTCTTCTGTTTTCCCTTTTAAGTTTAAATCTCTAAATTCCAAAGTAAAAAATCAATCAAGAATGAAGCGAGCAGATCGGACGGTTCTCACCAGCCTCAAACCCTCATAATCCAATATGGCTGCTCTGTAGTTAAAACAGCAACATATTCTGTGATATACTGGGTATTTGCATTCCTAAAAACTTATTTCACACCAACAGAAAAGGCCTAGACACACTCACTAAATGTTGAATGCATCAAATACATCGAGAGAGCTTGTATTAGCTTTGTATTAGCTCTCACTAAGCATTGTATTTAATCAATCCCATTGCTTTCTAACCTAAAACTTGAAGACTTCTGGTGATATTGCTCTATTGATGTTTAAACTTTATTTTATTTATATGCGTAGCTTTTGCCACATGCTTCTTGTTTGAGTTCAGCCACTTTAGTTTATAACCAGAGTTCTTCAAACATACTTGCTCTACTTAAAGGAGGGATTTCCTCTTTTGAGTAGTCTCAGTAAAGCCAAGTTTATTGTGCTCGAACAGCTCCTCGTTGTGGCAGCTGATTAGCTTTGTATCTATCTTGTAAATGGTGAAGAAAAATATGTTATCAGTAGAGCTAAAGACAACTAGTGTCATAAATGGTACCTGGACCACAGTTTTAGAACTTTATCTTTAGAGAGACAAAGCAAAATGTGAAGAAAACTAAACCAAACCATGTTTTGCTGCTCGCTATGAGCAGATGAAAGAAATGGGTCTTACTTGATCAAGCACAATGAAGGTGGAGTGGTAAGAGATTGCTTCAAATTGGTCTGGATGACCCACCTGAGTATATCCTGAAAAACTCCGGGAGGCAGATGATGAGGGCGATGATCACCAGAAGGAGAATTTTAGTCACAGAAGCTCTTGTCATGGTTGTACGATCAGGTCACACGCATTGTTTCAGGCCCACACGTTCATAAGCAGCTCATGGTAACTCCTTCCTTGTTCAGACATACAACCTGATGCGTTCAACTCATGTTTGTGATAACCAGTCTTCCTCCTGCAGTCTTCAAGAGGCTTTCAAGAGTTCATTTGTAGATCGAGGCGTTGAAGGTGGCTTAGCGGGCACGTTATACACAGCAACTTCACTTCCTTTTGCACTTCCTGGTTTTTTTTCATAAAGACTTAAAACATAGAGAAGCAGTTTCAGATGGCTCTGTCAGCTGAATGTAAGTACCAACAACTATTTTTCTTTTTTGAGTGTTGACGTGTGAGAAATGGCAGATGTTCAATCCCAATAACACTGTAATTATAATATTTGGTCTAATCTGGCACCTAAAAATAATACAACTGAGAGGAAAGAAGGTAAAGTAAAGTCAAATAAACAACCACTAGTGGCATGTAAGTTTTTATTATTTAATAACCCAAAAACTACAAAATAAATTTGCTTCTAGATGTCTAGATGCATTATTATACAGTTATTGATCAACATATCATCAGCATGTCTGAGCACTTTAGAGATGGGATTGTTTTTATGGCTGCATATCAATGGATTTTAGAGCTACTGTCAAACAATTTAAGCTCTATTAATCTCCTTGGCAAGCAGTGGGTTGTCATTGTGTGGCACCCAGAGAGCAGTGTGGGGTTAAGGGTCTTGGTCAGAGAGCTGAGTGGGTGCTGTGGGGATCAAACCGGTACTTGCAACCTTCTCAGGGTGCAAGCGCACTGCTCTAACCACTAGGTTGACAATCCCAAACCACTAGGCTACGATCCCAATGAGTACATGAGTGTGAATAAAAGGAAACTGTACAAAAATAAATGTCTGAGTACTCCCCACAATGTCCATGGACTCATACACAGGATTACGCCATCAGATTATTGCTACAAATGTGGTTTTCCAAGCTATTGTTTCACCGTGTTTACTTCGTTTTCGTTTCTGCACTTTTGAATGATTTCTGATCAGTTATGATAAAGAAGGGGGAGTACTTTTGTGCTTCTTTAAATCTTGTTTAATATAATATGATTAAAACAGGCTATTCTTATTCATATTTTTTCTTATATTAAATCAACTGTGAAGGGTGTGTTTCTTCTTCCCCATAACAGATCATTTACTGTCTTCTGTATACCTTTAAAGTCTCAATTTTACCCCCTTAAAATTTCTTAAAAATCTGCATTTTTGTACAAGGATTAAAAATTAAAAATACTTAACATAGAACAAGAAAAGTCAGTCTTGATATGTTAGTCACTAATATTGTAAGCAATTGTAAAATGCTGCTTACGTAACAATAAAGCTTTATAAGATCATGTTAGACTTCTTCAGCCACAAACGAGGTACCAGGTGACTTAATTGCTAACTGACAATTAAACTGTTTTATTTTTTTATCTACTTGAAAAAAAATAATATCTTCCTTTATTTACATCTTAATTGATCTCTTTTAATTGTTTGATGTTTGGCTCAGATGTTAAGATCTGGATTCTTAAGACCACTTATATTGGAAAGGTTGAACAAACACACACGCTTGAATCCATAAACACAGCGATAAGCACGGCTGGCAGGTGAAGCCTTATCTATGTTCCACAGCAGTTTGTTTGCTTACAGGACTCAGTCAGGGGACATGTGAGGGGGTATGGAAGCTGCCAGATAAAAAAAAAATAAATAAATCAGAGCTTTTTGTTCAATTAGATCGGCTTCACTTTCTAAATATTGAGAGCCAGTGGCTACAATGCAAAGTAAATTTGGCTTTTTGTTACCTAACTAAAGAGTTAAGAGCATATATCTATGATAACTGTTCCAATAGGTCAGAGAATTTTGCATCCAACAAGGTAAAGAAGCATAGAAGCAAACTTCTTCTTTGTTTTTGCTTCGGTAGTGGGTGTTCTTTGAAGGTAAGTATTAGTGTCATGTAAAGCTGCATAAACTTGAAAGCAAACCATCTTAGTAGTAACACAAGCTCAGGGCAGGATGCCACTCTGCTACTTAGAGTGCCAGAAATCTCATTAGTCAGAATTACTTCAGATCACATGGAAGGTTCAAACTATGCCAGACATTGAATTCGTAGCTTTTCATTTATGAATATCCATACACATCCCCAAGGAAGGATCCTTACATTGGGAAAACTCAACCCATTAACCTCTCTCTAAGTGCCCTATGAAGCATTATTGATGTTGATTGTTTTTATTCATTGGCTATGTGTGAACTACCACGAGTCAATGATATTAATGGAAATAGACTCAACCAAAATATTAGACATCTGTGGTATTTCCATCTGTTTAGCATTTTTTTGTTTTATTTAAGACTGAAAGAAAATCCTGAAAGTCAGGTTTCTTCAGCCCTCTATATTGAGATAAACACATTTCAGACAGCTATGGATGTCTAAATGTGGGCATATTTTTGAACCCTCACTTTTCTGCAAGAATTACTACTGTTTAGCTGGAATGCAATGACCTTGTTAAATGTTGATATGTCTTAATACTTTTACACAGTAGCTAGAGAAGTCACTTAAATGCGTGCTGTTCCATGTAAAAGCATTTACCTCAAAGGATTTCCTCTGTTTCTGATTCTGTTTGACATAATCTAATATGTACAGTACATTTAACTTCAGACAAAGTAAACCAGGGTGTGCAAAACCATAATTAACCACATTCTTTTGGATGACAGAGCCTGCCCGACAGCATGATAAAGGCTATAAGACTGCTATTTCAACCTGGAGACACTCACACAGTGAAAAGCTGCAATTAAATTAGTAATAGTAATTTATCTATACGGATAACAATTCAATTCAGTTTATTTATATAGCGACAATTCACATGCCATCTCAAGGCACTTTACAGTTCACCAGATTATACAGTCAAATTGATTCAAAGTTTTCTATCCAAGGAAAACCAGTTGATTGCATCGACTCATTGACATACAGTAACACATCAGATTCTTCAAAATATGTCTGAGGAAAATCAGCTGATTGCGAGGACTCATTGACTCTCTGTAATCCCTCACAAGGAGCATGCATGAAGCAACAGTGGAGAGGAAAATTCCCTTTTAACAGGAAGAAACCTCCAGCAGAACCAGGCTCAGTGCAAGCGGCCATCTTCCGAGGCCAACTGGGGTTCAAGATTACTGAAGCAGATAAAGACATAAACAAAATAAGTTGTTTGGCGCTCAGGCCCTGGCAGAAGACTTTGATGCTGTGGATCTACATACGGCTGGATGAGTAACCTAGGAAACGGATCAGAGAAGTCTTCCTTGGGCCTGGACACTGGTTGTGGAATAAGCCAGAGAGTGGGACTGAGAAAAGTCTGAGGTGAGGGAGGAAAGATTGGGTGGAGGTGGATGAAAGTTTGATTTGAAAAGCTAGGCCAGTCTGTTGAGGAGCTGAGCATCTCCTTTAGTAAAAGGCTTTTACATCCAGTTTGTAAAAACCAGCGCTACCACAGGTCAATTCTACTGAGGCCAGACTCTACAATGGGTCACTACAATGGCAATAAATTGTGCCGAGTATAATGTTGCAATTTACCATTTGATAATGTGTGCAGTAACTGTTTCTCTATATTTGACATCCAGTGCAATAACTATATATATAAATATCCATCCATATAAATACCCTTGCAAACACCCTGTCCAATAACCCGTTATAATGATCCTACTATATATAAAAAAAAGAAAGCTGTTATTTGTGGATATATCCCATGCCATGGACCTTTTTCTTCCTTTGGCACATTCTTCTTCTTTGATTATTTGAGCTGATGTTACAATAAAATTTCTCTACTGTGAGATCAATAAAGTAAATCAATTAATCAGTCAATCAAAATGAAGGGGATCTTAAAAGATGACTGGCTTCACAGAAGGTGCAGCCCCGAGTTGATTGTCTGGAGCTGAACGAGGGACATCCAGGTTATTTAAGTGAAGCTGAAGTGAAGAGCCCTACAGAAAGAATTTTTGCTGAAGCTTTTTAAGTCAATACAATTACAAAAACTGACAAGAAACTAAGGCTAATGTCTAAAATCCATAAAAATGGAGAAAAACATTGAATAGATTCCTCCTAAGAGTGGCTTGTCTACCTAAATGACTCCAATAGTCAGAAAAAAATAAGAACATCTAAAGCATCGCAGCCTCACTTGACTCCTAAAGAATAAACATGTAATGGAGCAAATATTTTTGAACAACACTCTAATATAATTACAACAAATATCTACAGTAAAAGTTCTAATATGAAGACTTCAATAATTAATTGGATCAAACAGGTGCTTTGTTCCACCTTAATCTGTCTTGCTGCACATTTTGAAGCACCTGTCACCATCAGCATAGAGCAGACATCTATCATTTCCAAGTCCGCAGACGGTTTAATGAGGAACACAACACAGCTGTGCAATTCCCTGCAGGAAGAAATGTAACTGTGTGTGTGTGTGTGTGTGTGTGTGTGTGTGTGTGTGTGTGTGTGTGTGTGTGTGTGTGTGTGTGTGTGTGTGTGTGTGTGGAGAGGGGGTTGGGGTAATAATGAGTGTTAAACTTTCCTCTGCGACCTCCGTATTTTCTCAGAATCAGATGATTAAACATAAACTCTGATGGATGTGTTGATGGTTAACAGTGTCATCCTGGACAAGAATCACTTGAACAATATGATGCTGCCGGTAGGATGTTTCTGAGCTCTGGTAGAATTTGACAACCTGTTAATGTTAGGGATGAGCTACAAGATAAGGAATTACAGAGCATGTAATCTCTATAGACTCTGTGTGGGGCATTAGATGAAGGATTGCTTTTGTAATCTTTACATCATTCTCTCACTGTAGTGTTGAAACTAATCCTTCCCGTCTTGCTTGAAACCTGAGGCTCTTACTATGGTGAAAACAAGGTCGTCAGAACACTAACAAGTATATTTGAAACTGTCTGTTAACCAACACACCCTATAGGAGTTTGAACAAATTACCAAAAGTTAGAGCAAATGATTTTTGAAAAATCTATAAAAAAATATCAATGTAATCTTGCAGCATATCTACATATTTTAAAGGTTTCGTATTTAAATAAAACACAGCCATGAATCTATTCACACAAGAAACTACTGCATGTCCAAATGTGTATATAGTTCTCTAGTAACTTTGTTTTATATGTGGCATCAAAGGTAAAAAAAAAAAAATTTATAAATA